GAGGGAAAGAACCATGGGGAGATTGATTGTCTTTGCGGTCCATTGACCCGCAACGGTGGAGAACAGAGGTGGCCTTTTACGTTATGCTTTGTACATAAAACACCACAACAATTACAAGTTAAACAACAACGACGAGAGGAGGGGAAAGTGAGAAAGGGCCGGTCGAGATTTAGGTTAAAGAATATATATATATATATATATATATATATATATATATATTTTTATTAATTTAAATTATGTATATGAGAGAAAAATATTATAATAAAAAAATTAAATTTAAATTTATATAAAAAAATATTAAAATAATATGATTTGAGTCTTATTTTGTTAATTTTGTAGACGGAATTATTAAGTCTTCAAAATAATAAAAAATAAATTTTTAAGAATTCTTTTTATAAAGTAAGAACACAAATTATATTTATTATAAAAAGAATGCATAAGAATAAACAATTTTAAATGCTTAAAATAATGACTATAATTTACGATACAAAATTTGACATCATTATGGCAATTATTATAACATTCTGACTATTTTTATATTATTTCAAAAATTTGTTAAATTTCAATTAGAGGTATGGAATTTTATTATATAGTGTAAGTATCTCAAGGAAACAAATAAAAATAACTTAAGAACCCAAACCTTGTCACAAGCCCTCAATATCTTATAGTAAAGTCTACTAGTTGAAATCGCGAGCACTTACGCGCAAGATTTTGTAAGTAAGAATAAAAAACATATATATTAAGGTCTTATTTGGAGGAATAAAAAATGAAAAATAAGACAAAAAGAGAAAAAGAGAAAAATGAAAAAAAAAAGACAAAAAAAAAAAGAAAAAGGAATGAAAACTAAGAATAAAAAAGTCACTTAGGAAACGATATATAAAAGGACATGTATGAGAATAAATTATTTAAACAGAGAATTAAAAATAAAGGTATATTTATAAGGGCTAATTTAGATAAAAGGAAAATTAAATAATAGGCCATAAAAGATAAGAATGTAAAAGAGTAAACCAAAAAAAAGAAAGAAGATAAGAAAAAAGAATAAACAAAGAAACAAAGAAAAAATTGGAAAGTATAAAAACAAAAACAAAAAAAACAAAAAAGAAGAAACAGTGGGAAAAGAATGGCGCAAACGAAACGTTTCATTAGCACAAAAAAAAAACCCCATTATGCACTAAAGTATGAGTTCACTAATTTTCTCTAAATTAGATCAATACTATTTTTGACAATAAATATTGAGGTTGTGTTACTAATGTTTTTATCTTTAAGTGTGAAACTTAAATTACATCAAATATTTTTAAAACTTAAGATGTATGCATTACGCCGCGTCAGGATTTTATTTAAAGGGAACATAAACTAAAAATGTAAAAAACAAAAGGTTAAAAAAAAGTCCTTGAAATATCGACTCCAAACTAATAATTAGTTTGAAGGATATGTTATGCACATACATATTTAATTTATTGAATTTCTTGATAGATAAATATAAAATTTTCTGAAGATTACTTTTAAAAAAAAAGTATCATTCTCTTAAGTCTTTAGTTAGTAAAAAATAGCAGAATTGACTGAAATGAGCGTTTTCCATCAAAATGTGCTCTCAGTTTAATATTGTACAGACACGTAGAACACATTTGAGTGATAAAGATTTTAACGGAAAAATTAGATGGAAAACTATTTAGGAAGTGCATACAAGGAAAATTATTGAGAATAGCACAATAAAAAGAATATTTTTATTAGAAATCGCTTTTGATACGATACACATTACATGAAATTAGATTTAGTAGAAAAATATTTAAACTTTTGTTAGTTAAGAGGGTGCATATATGAAAATTTTGAAGAATATATACTTATGAAAGAAAAAACAAAAATTTAGGGGACTTAAAAAAAATTCTCAAAGAGTACGCATTACATATTGAGCGTTTTTTTTTAATTATTATTAGCATTGTGTAATGTTAGTTTTCATCTAGGTTCATCTAGGTTTCAGTAGGTGAGCCGTGAGCGTCGCCTTAAAATCACAAGAAATCGAACATTTATTGTTGGCCCCAAAAATTTCAATGAAATGTATCAATTACCCGGCTAACACCAACTTGATTGAGTCCTTCCCTCCCTAACGCATGCTAACCAACTCTTGTGTGCCGGATTGAATTACTAATCTTTTTTTTTTTCATATGATGTATAAAACACAAAAAAAAAAATACATAAATAAAAATAAGTGCACCATTCTGAAATCACAACTTTAAACAAAGTAATGTGTTATAAAAAAAAATAAAAAATAAAAAATAAAAAGCCTTTGAAGTTTTGAACAAAGTATTTCAATCAAATGGTTCCACATAATAAAAAATGAAAAAGTTTAATCTTTATGTTTAGATTTTCTCTACCCCTCACCCCTCACTCCTCTCCCCCCCTTTTTTTTTAATGTCTTTAATGCGAATAAGCAATTATTTGTTTTTCTACATTCCTTATAGACTGCATAAAAGTTCAAAAATAAATAAAATAAAAGGAAAATTTACAATTTTATACATTACATTTTGAGTTTATCAAAAATATAACTTTGTATTTTAAATGTTCTCAAAACTATACCTCCGAATTTCAAGTCCTTAATAAATTTATATATTTTTTCAACCAATAACTGATTTTAACCTCGAAATTAATAGATATACCCATTTTAGTTTATAGATAAACTTATGATGAAACTAACTAAAAATATACTCAACTTAGTTTGAAAGTTCAATTTTTATGATCCTTATTGTTGTTTTCTTAAACATCACACGTGATTTATTTTAGTTACAAGATCGAATGTAAACTGTAATGATTAAATTCAATGGTCAAAATAACTATACTTCTAGAAAATATATAAAAAATGAATTTGAAAGTATAACCTTGCAAACACCCAAACTATAAGGTCATTTAAAAAAAAAGTATAAAATAGAAAATAACCCTAAAACTAATGCTTCCATGCAGCAGCCTCTCCCCACTCCTCTTCTTCAAATTTCTTCCACATATCTAAAATTTTCATTGTATCAATCATTCGTTGTCTCAGCACTAGATGGGTCATAATCATATCAAAGATAAGATTTGTATAAGTTTTTGTTTTTGTCTTTATTAGTTTATTTCAAACTTTGGTCAATCAGAAAACCAAATATATCTTAAGCAAATTGCAAAGACAGTTCACAGTTCTTTTTTTTTTCTTTTTTTTTTTGGCAGTTCACATTTAGTTTGTTAATTCGAGTTTTTAATTCGAATTGAGATATGAGTTTATATAAGAACTTTTTATTGTAGTAAAAAAAATTAAATATAATTGTTTCTAAGAGTTTTTTTACCGTAAAAAAACTCAAATTAATAAAATAAATGGGACCTAACATTTATACATCTCATACAAAAAAAAAGATATTATATTATATGCCAAACAATTTAATTGGAGATTTATATGCGAATTTAACCAAATAAAAAAATTAAACCCTGGCTAAAATATATATATATTTTTTTAAAAAGTAAAGAATCAAACATTTTTGAGGTTTGAGTAGCCGCAAAAAATAGGCCAACTAATCAATAATGTATTTTGCGTATATAATACTCCACAAAACGACGACGCTTCCCCTCCTCTTGTCGCATACTCCAAAAAGCCAAATCACGCAACGGCTATCATCGTTGTCTGCTAGTTCCACGACACGCGCACGTTACATACACACCCTTCGGATTCTCCCCAAAAAAAAAAACACGCAGGCGCATTTTAGCATTCCGTGCGGCGCACGTTAGCACTCGACGCAAACGCAGGCGGCGCGGCGAATAATCTCCGGCAGGTCCGCTGCCCTGGCCCACTCCTCCGCTGCAGTGTCGTACACCAAAACCAAGCCCTCCTTCAACCCTCTCGTGCTCCTCCCACTCCTCCTCAGAAGATCGTCGATACAACCAGAGACTTGAACAAGAACAACCTTATCTCCCACTCCGGCGCAGCTGAACCTCACCGTGCTGTCCACTCTAACCTGCGCCGGCAGTGGCGGGCTCCTTA